AGAAGCCTAAAGGTTGGAAACCCAATAGCCTCAATCCTTTAGGGTGATGCATAGGGAATCCCAGCACTCTTTGAGCTTAATCCGGCTTCCAACTTTTTTGGGGCTTATTATAGGGGTAGTTCTCTAAATTAGGGTCCCTTTTTGGATCCCCAATATAGTACGGCACCCTTGTAAAAGGGAAGCAAGACGGGACCCTAATTTTGAAAACTGCCCATCAAAGGCCTACCTAGTCCTTTTGAGGTTCGAAACACATAAACACTGAAGAACATTCCATCATTGGGAGTTTGGCCTCTCTGGTCGGTGGCTGCAGAAATACTACAATATGCTTGCTGCTGCTACTGTCGTCATGCTGAAAATGGAGTCCACCCCACCCGGCGCAAGAAGGATGGGGACGGGTGATGCCGATAATCCTCGCATTGGTACGACATGTACGCCGCCTAATCTAGTGCGGCTGGTGGGTGCGGAGGAGGCGGAGGAGGACAATCGTTGTCAACACAATTGTCGACTTCATTACCACAACCACTGTAGTCTTCATCTTCAACAACAGAGTCATCGGCAAATTCAACAGAATAGTTCTCATTGTGGCCATTGCCGTTGCTTTGTGGCTGTGATTTGGTTTTTTTGTTCACTGCGCTTTCTCCCGATGCTCAGGTTTTGGCTTTAGTAGGGCTTGGGGAGCAAAGCAGAACTCGCTAGAGATGTACACTTTGAACAACGTCCTCAGAGTTCAGGATTCCGGGATGTAGGGTTGGGGAATACAGTGCCGCGCTTATCATGTGGATGGTGATCCTCAACTGGGTTCTGGTGAAGGAATTTAACATAATTTTAACTTACGTTACCCGTGGTTTCCTTATGATAGTAACTTACAAGAACCCAGTAAACCCTAAACCCTCGACCCTCAAAACCTCTAAAGAAGCCCTCACCCTACCTTAAGAACCCAAAACCTACTTGTTTGTAGGGTCCCCATAAATCCCATATTAGGGTTTATAATACGAACCTACAAAAACGTGGGCTTTGGGGCTCTTGAGGTAGACCCTAAACCCTTCAGCAAGACTCCCAGTGGGGCCTGGCATGGTAGCTCAGCGGTCGGTTCAGAAGCGGCCCATGCAGCATCGGGGTTTCCGAAACCCCGTCAACCCTTGAAGCTTAGGGTTTAGGGTTTAGGGTTTAGAGTTTCGGGTTCACGGTTTCAGGTTTAGGGTTTAGGGGTTTTTAGGGGTTTTTAGGGGTTTAGGGTTCAGGGTGTATGGGCTTGGGCTTTGTGGGAGTTAGGATTAGGGGGACCCTTGGGGATATAGACCCTCTCAATAAGGCCCCTTTTAAGAGAGCCAAAAGTAGGGCTCAGAAGGGGTACCCTCTAAGGGGTACCCTAATAATACTACCTAGAAGCTTAGAGTTTAGGCTTCGAAAAGAGTTCTCAAGATGCGATAGGGGATACTGCTGACGATAGAGATCCTGCATTACCATAAGGGCCCTAAACTATGGGAATTGTGGCATCTTCCTTGTTATGGGTAATGCAGGGTCTATCTCATAAACCGTAGGGAGCTTCAGAGAATAAGAAATGGACACAACCGGGTCTATTTTGACCAAGCCCCACAAGCATTAGTATCTCGGGCGCTCTGGAGGAATCTGTCTTGGGGCTGCAGTGGTGTCATGGCTTGGGCACAGGGAATCTTGGTGAATCGTAAAAGCCCAAACCTTAAACCATAATACCCTGGTTTTTAACCTGAAGATGTCGTGGGTTTATTGTTCGCAGGTGTAAAGGCGCACCAGCGCACCAGCTACTTCCTCCCTCCGCGGCGTTCTGAAGAGGAGTATAGCCGAGGTTTCCGGGCTTTAGGGTTGAGGGTGACATTGCGGGCCAGTTGCCCGTTATAATCGCCCTGACAAGAGTAGCCCTACATAATGACCCACCTAGAAATCCCATTGTAGCAAGCTTTTCTGCAACCCTCTCCTAGTAACCTTGTGCATGACCCTGATATAGCAACCCTTTTTCCCTATCCCTACGATAGCAACGGTTTAGCGTTTAGGGGTTTAGGGTTTAAAGTTTGCTCAAAAGCTGCAGAGGAGCCAGAAGGTTGCTCTAACCTCAGGGCCTTCGTAGGCATGGAGTCAGGACTTAGGGTCCAGGGTTCAGGGTTCAGGTTTCAGGGTTTAGCGCTTAGGGTTTGGGGCTTAGGGATTTGAGTTTGAGGTGCAGGGCTGAGGATGGCTTAGGGTTTAGGATTTAGGGTTTAGGGTTTAGGGTTTAGGGTTTAGGGTTTAGGGTTTAGGGTTTAGGATTTAGGGTTTAGGGCTTCCGAACGGCAGAAGTAGTGGTGCAAACAGCACTATCTGCCGCTTCCAACGTGGAATATACTTTCGTGACACAAAGAGACCCTAAACTTGCCATTAACGCTCGTATTACTCTTACCACTCCAACAACTCGTACTACCCTTATGACTATTACGATCTCCATTGCAACCATTCTTGCAACCATCACGAAAAATAGTGGTATTCCCAGCATTCTAGCATTACCACTACTGCTATTATTGTTACAGCTGCTGGCAGACCTCGGACCCCGACTCAGGATCACCATGACGACCCGCAGCCACATCTAGCCCTCCACCGCTCCGCGCAATAACTAATGAGCGGAGGCGGGGCAAGAAAGGAACGGGGTTCAACCCTAAACCCTAAACCCTAAACCCTAAACCCTAAACCCTAAACCCTAAACCCTAGACCCTAAACCCTAAACCAAAACCCTAAACCCTTACATTCAAAACCCGCCTTCTCCACCTGGCGACCGCTGGTCTGAAACTGGGTTTGGGGCTTAGGGTTGAGGGAATTTTTTTTTTTGGGGGGGGAGTGGGGGGGGGGTCAGGGTTTAGGGTGTTTTTTGAGGGCGGGTTTAGGGTTTAGGGCTTTTTTTNNGGTTTAGGGTTCCGGGTTTAGGATCAGATTCCAAAGGTCTGCACTGCACAAGTCCGACCCGGCACGCCTGCTTCCGGAAAGCTCGCAACCTGCAGCTATTCAAGATGTAGAGGTTTAGGATTTAGGGTTTAGGGTTTAGTTTAGGGTTCAAGTTGTGGTTTCAAGTTAAGGTCCAGGATTTGAAAACTTTACCACATCAGGCATTGGTGGCTTGTGATTAGACCTTCATGGTTTAAGGTCTACTTAAGTACGTTTCAAGGGAGTGAATGGCTGCAGGTGCCCCTGTCGGGGTCATGCTACTTGAACCCTCATTTTAAAACTATTTAATTACACCCTAAAACCCTGAACCCAAAAAACCCTAAACCAACCTGATACCTACTTCCTTCTCCCTAAACCCTAAACCCCCTCCGGGAATTTCATTCGCTGCTCGGTCAATATTGAACGTTGAGGGCTTGGCTTCGGCCTTGAGAGTTTCAAGTCGGGGCTTGGACTTACCAAAGGCTGCCCAAAACCTGCTTTTTTGTAGGGCCCTATAAAGTCTGCACTGGGATTTATAGAGAGAACTACAGAAAAGAGTAGGCTCTGGTACGTTTTTGTAAGGTAGACATGACTAAGGAGTTGGAGCTTCGGGTTTCGGGGATTCAGGCGTAGGGCTCTGGGGCTTTAGGGTTTAGGGGAGATACCTGTTACGCCCAATCTCAGTCTCGTGTGCTGAGTTCGGTACGCATCTCAGGATTCCGGGTTCGGGTGGGGTTTGGTTTGCCTTTAGCCTGAGGATGAGGCCTTAAAGCATAGTCAGAATCCCCACCATGAGTTCGGCAGATTGCTCCATCAACGGGTTTAGGAGCCTCTGCGCAAAGCACTTCAACCTCAACTTTAAGTCTACCAACACACGAGTTGACGAGAGTAAAGGCAACACAAGACCCCAAAAGTGGAGCAGGATCGTGGCGATGAGGGCTATGTATTACGGCAATACGACGACGACTGTTAGCTACACTGATGCGAGTGCTGCTGTGAACATTACCCAACAAGATTCAAAAGAAGACTCTTAACAAGCTCGCATGGCATCAAAAAGTATAATTGAAAGAACAAAGCAAAACCAAAGCAAAACTAGGATAAGACGCCACAAAAAGCCATGCCCCCAACTAGGATCCTATTCTGTATATAATCCCAAAAAGGAACTATAAATACCATAAGCCCTGAACCCCAAGCCGAAAAAAACCTGAGCCTGTCCCGCCAACTCCGAGGAAGCACTGCGAATGCCCTGCCTGTGCTTAGCACGCTGTGGAACTCCATGTTTTCGGCTTTGCTTTTGCTTTTGAGGGCCCTGTTGGTGTCTGTTTCAGCGTTTCGTGGTTCGGGTTTCGTGTTTAGGGTTCAGGGTGTGGGGTTTAGGCGTAGTACCCCAATGCGTAAGCGCCAAACGCCGAACCCCCCGACCCTGAGCGCCAAATCCTGAACCTCTTCTGCCAAAAACACTAAACTCCTGCGCGGCTCGAGGAGTTGCAGGCTGTTACGGCTCAGTAAAGGTCTACTCGGGTTGATACGGATCAGACAAGGGTTGTTTGGCCTACGGTCAGGGTTGCTACTTTTTGTACACTCGCATTGAGCCACCTTAGACAGAACCAGACACCTGAACCCCCGAAACTGTAAACCATGGAGTTCCTTTGCTTAGCATTCTGTGCGGGAACTAAAACCTCCTACTGCGTCCCTCAAACCTATGGGGCTCGGGTCGTAGGGTTCTATTTAAGATACTCAGGACGTTGCGTGGACATGGAAGGTACGACCGCCTTTGACCCCAACATGTCTGAGGTTTTGCACAGACAGACGTGCTGTGAGTCCAAGTGCCTTGGGAGTTGCAAGGATCTGCTGCTGTAGCTAAGCCTTTCCACGAGCCCGGTTCGCTGTGGTGCGGCCGGTCTGCCGCGTCGTGACACTCTTTTGCTTGCCGATAATCGCAGGAAAGCTTCAAGAGGCATGTCTGGATGACCAGCCCTGTTCAAAGCTCGAAATTTTGGAGAGCATTCAGGTGGTGGCACATCGCATGCAATGAAGAACTGCCCTCCTGCAGGTGTATGCAGAAGAGAGGATGTCTCCCGTTTGCGTTGAGTTTTTTAGGGGTAAAGGGGCTCAAGCTTCATGGGTCTCGGGTTTAGGGTTTAGGGGCCCACACGAACCTGGTGAACCGGCTGCAAAGCCGACAAGAGCCTAGAACGCCTTCTAGGGTGAACCTAAACCTCCACTCCAACACAGGATAATACTAAAATACCCACGACTCAAAAACAGAAACCCCTAAAACCAAAACCCTAAACCTAAACC